GCAGGTAATTATATATATATATATATATGCGTAAAGCATTGCAAAATTCTTATTGGTTTATTTTCTTTGTGAAATATCAGACAGTTATCCATTAAATTGACTATTTTTATCTATTTTTTTGTGTGGTCAGAAAACTGAAAAAAATATATATTAGAAATTAGGCGCTAAATAATATTATTTAAAAAAAGATTAACCAGCTTCAAAAAACGGCTAAAATGGAGGAATTTGATTGTTTTAAAATGATGAAACTTAAATTTTGTTTACAATAAAACTGGATCCTTACAAAAATAAATTAAAATGGAATTGGAATGATATTTTTCATATGAATAAAGACAACGTGTGACAAAGATGAAGAAAACAATGTAAAGCAAAAAATTCACTGAGCTTTCTTCCCTCTTTTCTTTATCGTTAGTATGCTTTCAGCAGTGCTGCGTTATTTAAACTTTAAAAAAGTCCTTTCATTATCTTCTCCTAGTGCCGCCGTCTTTTCCGCAAAAATTGTCACTAAACCCCATAATAATTTTGTAACAAAATAATCTCCAATTTCGATTTAAAAAAAAGTGTAGTCATTTGGAAATTCTGTCATTATAACCACAACGGTGAGAGCTAGATAATCGTGGTTTTAACAATATTCTTGAGCGCTTACCTTTTAAAAACTTTCTACAATCGTGTTTCGTTATAATTGCTCAAAAAATTAATACATTGAAAACTATTTTATATATCCCCTACTCCAGCTGCTTACATATTATATAGGTACTTCCTATAGGAATAAGCAATAAAGTAATCATTAGAGTAACCTATATCAGTCATGTTTCTAGAAAAGTATATTTTGAAGTAAAATTTCCAATTACATTTACAATATCTTCATTCAATTACTTGTCAACATCTAACAACCTGCCAGTGTTTTCAGAGATCGTCAAAATGTTTTGAGCGTTAAATGCTCAAAATAGTTTGAAATCTCCGAAACAAACCTATGAATAAAGGATAAAGAAAACAGTAGGATAAAGAAAATAGTATAAAATTTATTGAAATAAGCGCTGAACATGTTATAATTAAAATAATTGTCTTATTGAAATGCGTATTAACTGAATGCACAACCAAAGTAAGATTTGGGAAAATAATTTTGCACTAATAAATTATATAATAAAACATATTAAATTTTATTTGCCTTAATTATATTTACCAATTTACAAATCGTATTTTAAAAGCTTTTGTAACAAAATGAACATATAAGTATAGCTATGTTTTAAATGGCTAAAAACCTGATTTTTCATACTTTTTCTTTTGATATCTGGTGAGCTACAATACTTCCTAAAATTTCGTTAACACATTATTACACTGTAAAAAAATGGATGTATAGTTGCCACTATTTCTGGTATTGAGGTGAACTAAATACATTTTTAAGTACATAACCGTTTACTTATTAAATTTTTTTAAAAACCGTCATTTAAATTTGAGACACCCTGTAACTACGCATTTGTTGATTTCTCAGAACATGAAATGTTTTCATTTATTTGTAGACTGAAACAATAGGTGATGCTTATTGTGTAGCTGGTGGTCTTCATCGTCAAAGTACTACGCATGCGCAGCAAACTGCGTGGATGGCATTGAAAATGATTGAAGCAGCAGGACAAGTAAACACGCCACATGGACAGCCAGTTCAGGTATTTTAAAATTATTGTGTTTGGTATCCTGAAAACTATAACTTTAATTTTCATCAAATTTACTTTTGATTTTTTTTCTATCTAAACCCAAAAAATTTGGAAGGTGATCCTTATATATGGTGCTGCTACACTAAAGTAAATACTTAAAAATAATTAGTGATTTTTGGATTACTGTAGTCTGTTACTTTTAAATATTTTCTATCTGTTTATAATTTTATATTAATTTCTATCTGTTTATAATATTAGATTTTATATTATAAACCTTAGTTAAATTTTGTTCGACATCCAAGCGTTTCGTTGAAAATAAATTTTAAAAAATATTAAATAATAATAAATTTGAAAACGAACTATTTTAAGTAAATCTTTTTTAAATGTGTGCAGTCTATGATACTGCAGAAACTGGGAAATTCTAATAAAAAATATGCTATTTAGTTATAAAAAATTAAAATTTACGTAATTGACAAAATATATAATTTGTTAGCCTATTACAATTTAATTATTAACTTAATTAATTATCATTATTTTTATAATTTTATGATTAACCACTTAATTTAAAATATACAGTTTGTTTGTTAACAATGAAATACACTGACAAAATATAAAACTTAATTATTGACTAAGGTAAAGGTTACTCCAAACAATTAGAAAATAAATAAATTCAAAATATTATCTCTCTACTTTGAAGTGAAAGTCAAATATGAAAAGAAGAACATTTCTAAAATGTAATGACACAATTTATGGAAATTTAAAGCCTCAAAAAAATCATAATGTTTATTGAAATACAATAAATTGCAGAAACTTAAAATAATAGGGTGCATGCATGATAAATGGCGGTGAAAAAGCGGCAAAATGCATTTATTAACGATGGTCGATATGTACCAAAATGCAGACATGGTACTAAAATAATCTTTTAAAACGAACGCAATAAAAGCTTTTTATAAACCAATATCCCGATTTTTCTCATCGCAATTATTCTTAAATTATCCTTTGAGTCTTGTTTAGTCCATAATTACTATGGCAAAAAATAATACTGGAGAAATCCCTAATAACAGAGACTTTGAGACATAATAACCATATAGAGATTGAAATATATTTCGTATCAATTATTAATTGAGTGTTCTTTTTCAAAAAAATGAGCAGAGTCCTGTTTTCAAATGACATAGGATGTTGTAATGGCAATGTCAGCATAACCTTTTAGAACTTAACGAGTATTATTTGTCACGTACTGCTTTAGAAAGACTTTTTATGTGGACATTTCATTAATTTTTCCATTGGATCATCTTGTAACGTGTCTTTTAAAGAAGCAGTTCGAAACACATTTACTTTAATGTGTGTAAAATCCAATGCTTTCGTGTTTTGGGAAAAGTTATCCATTTTTATGAAATAAATATTCTTTTACCAAAACTGGTAGTTAGTTTAATTAGAGTACAACATTTTATATACATTATATTTACGTATAGACAAAATATAACGTAAATCTTTTCTGGAAATTTGCTGAAATCTTTTATTACTATTGAGTCAGGACTGAAAATTGCACTGACGTTGAGGCAAGTATCCCTTAGTAGTATCAACATTTATATTTTAATGTATAAATCTTGGATATTAAATGTTAAAATAATTGTTCATCCAAACATTAGAAATCAGACAAAATAGAGTTTAAATAAGATCGATTAATTCAGCAGTTATGTTTTATAATTGTATGCAAAGTAGCTTGATTTTTTTAAAAATTAATTGTGCTTTAATTAATTGTTTTAATTAATATTTTACTACCACGCAGAGAAATGTTCCCCCAACTACTGCATAAATTGGCAACTATATATGTTAAACCATTTCTTATAAATGATAAAACTAGCAATATGCTCGTTTATTTTCATCAAATACATTTGGTCCAACAATTCTATAATAACATATTTTTTTTTTTATTTTTTTTTATTTTATAACCGTCGTTGAACAGCCGACCCAATTTCATGGGTTTACGACTACTTACGTTCAACTCCGTAGCCTTGTAATTTTGAACCAATCCAGAAGACAAGGAAACTCCTGGATCAGTACCCCCAGAGGTATTGATTTGTTGTGGGNACTTTACTTTTTTGGGATTTTATGAACTGAAAAATGACAGTTTTCGTGAGAATGACCCATATGTTAAACCATTTCTTATAAATGATAAGACTAGCAATATGCTCGTTTATTTTCTTCAAATAAATTTGGTCCAACAATTCTATAATAACATATTGATAAATTTCTTTGCATTGTCCATTTCATATGTTCATTCCATTTTAGAGTACTCAAAGACGCAATTTTTTTCTTCATAATTAATTGCTGGTCCCTTTCAGCTCTGAAAGTTTGAACCATAGAGCTGAAATAGAAGTAGAGCAAGCGAGCTGTTTTATTCCCCCTCCTCTCTTCATCCTAAACGTCAGTGCTCTCCCTTCTTTTAGCTATTTTGTCAAAGAGAGAAGGACTTCGTGTGACAGTTGAGATGAGTTATCTTTTCTAGCAGATTCGTGATTTGTATTGACACAGACAATTGTGGAAAGTTAAAAGCTTTAGAAACATTAAGATTAGGGAACAGAAATATAAAGAATCATTTTCCGACAAGTAAATTTTAGTATTCTAATTCTTCAATGAGTATAAGCTGTACAAAAGTGTTTATATTTTTACAAAATTTAGAAAATTTTAATTTTTGAATGTTTTTAAAGCGGTAAAAATGTTGTAATAACCATTAATGGGTGTTTTTTAAGTTTTAAAATGGTTTAAAATTTTAAAATATTTCACTCAATCTACACTAGCAAAACTAATGATTATTACAAAAGCTTAAAAAAAAATCAATGTTTGTCAAACAAAATTCTTCCTAAGTAATTAATGCGACGTTTACCTTTATTAAAACTATTTTAATAAAGATATCATCAATTAATGCTTATATCTCTTAAAATAGACAATATATTTACTTCTTTAAGGTTTGTTCATTTTTATTAATTATTCTTGTGGTCCATGATTGCATAATTGTATGTATGACATTTCAGAATTAATCTTAAGGAGTTTGTTAGTTTAAACATGTTTTATTTTAAATAATTTGTTGAAATCAATTTGTTAACTAGATTTATAATGTAAAATAACGTATATTTTTTGAAAATAAAAACCGTTTTCAAAAACATACATTTATTATTTTCACAATTCATTGTAGTTCAGGATATACATAGATTGATTTTACCGATTATATAATTATTCAAGTGAATTTATAATTTGAAGTTACTTATTGAGATATTAATTTCATATACTCACAAATGGAAATTAATGGACTGTAGAATTTTAAAACATAGGAATTTAATACAAATGCCTAACCATCGCGTGAAATATTAACGTACAATTGATTTCAGAGATGTTTTTTTTTCATTTCGACAGAAAGAAAACAAAATCACAAAGTTTGTTACTGTTGTTTCTAATGTCACTTACCAATATCAGCAAGACAGCAGAGGGTGCGTTTTTTATTTTTAAGTGGTGCCATCTAAGGAGAAAAATACGACTTCAGCCACACATATGATGCAGCTCGTTTATAAGGCGGACCCATTCATACATCCTTCATTCATCTACAGATCGTAATTTTAGACGCGAGCCAGAGAATGATCAATCTCCAATTTAGTACCTCTTGAGGTATAATTTGTTATGGGAGCATGAAGGACTTCATGACCCGACAGATTTAACGCGCACCAGTCACCATTTATTACACGAGGAGTCTTCGGCTGGCGGTGATGGAACTCACGACCTCTTGGACATGAGTCCAACGCCCTACCAACTAGGCTAATCCGACCCTAAAGTTTTTTCTTATAATAATCAACTATCATTTCTTAGTAGTATCTATCATTTCTGTAATTGTACTTTTGGATTTTATTTAAACTTTACGAGATCTGCTCTTTAACCTGCTACGATAAGGTTAAAGAGCTTTAATACTTCTGATAATAGATTCGATTGTTTTTCATGCATTATTGATAATTAAAAAATATCAGATGATTTTAAAGATCTAGTAATTAAGTGTTAAAAGTCTTTGACCTATTTATTAAATCTTTTTGCATTAATCGTTCTTAGCCCCACTTTTGTCTAAGCAAATGTACGTTATAAGCAAAACTAATCAAATGCAAGATTCTAAAATTAAAAAAAAAATATTTATATACATAAGAGTTCTTTTTTCCTTCCGAAAATATTAGAGTAAAAAAATATAAAGCAAATAAATGAAGGAAAAAAACAACTATGTCACCAAAAATTTGCCAACTACATTTTCGCACTCAAATTTAAAAAATATAAAAATTTGATGTACTGATAAAGAACAATTCTATATAATATTTACTTTATGGTTGTGTTCTTTTTCCATATTTTCTTGTGAGATGGTTTTAAAAGCATAAATTTGGATATTCGAGAGAATAAAGTAGAGAAATCGGAATTAATATGATGTTTTAAGAAAAACATGATAAAGTTCATTTATATTGTTAATAAAGCAATTATAATTCCAAAAGTGCTAAATTAATTTACTTATCTAACATTATCTTTAACGAATGTTTCTGTTGTAAAACCAAATGCAGCATAAGAAACTATCATGTTTAAAGATTTTTAATTATAACTTTAAAATTACAGCATCAATTTTCTTCCCTTGAAATAACAAGGGAAAATGTAGGGTGGAAAAGTTCTATGTCTATTGGTTTTATTCTAAGGACAAAAATTAACTTGATGATCCTGTTCTACTTACATTACAGTCCTATGCTTTAAACTTCATTGATGAGTGCGAATAATTGTATTATTCTCAACGCCTTTAAAGTTATAAAATTATTATCCAAATACATCATAAATACTAAAAAGATATCACTTCTTATTTGTTTTTTTTATATTTAAGTAGATAAAAGGTAAGATCTTAAAACATAAAGATGATTTTCATCTTTTGCTTGTTTTTCGATATCTCACATTCTTCTTTTTATCACTGCTGTAAGAAAACTTCCATAATTTATGCTAAA